ATATTCGCAACATCTGCGGTATTGTATTTAGAGTCTGAGGCAAGGAGGCCATCATCTAAGAAGGTAACGATGTTATAACCCTTACTCCTCCAATGCTTTACTAACTGCCGAATTACCTTTGTAAATACATATGGTGCTGAGGACAACCCAAAAGGTAGTACAAGAAACTTATAAAACTTTCTAACCGTGCCTTCCTTCCATGCAAATCCCAAAAACTGAGTATGATCTTCAAGTACATCTAAATGATGGTAGGCAGAATGAATATCGAATTTAACAATCCAATCATTTTTCTGTATATATAACAAAGCTGTCCTCCAGTCTTCATATTTGACCGATTCCTTCCATATATGTGTATTCACCACCGAGAGATCCAGGATCAATCTCTTTTTACCTGAAGACTGAACGGAAACAGAGGGGGTTTACGACTGTAGGTTTTTGAGAGCATTCAACAACCAAACCTTTTCGTACCAAATCAGCTATAGCCCCCGCTACAAAATCTTTATGCATTATTCCTGACTTATTGTTGTTTAAATCCATATCAGGTGGAGTAGAATAAAGGGAATCTTGTAACCATTTTCTAGAATGTCAAGCACAAAGTTGGAGCAACCTATATTTCTCCAAAATTGTACACTGTCCTTTAATCTATTCTTCACTATGATTTCGGCATGGCCCTGCTCGTATTCAAAATAATCATGAGTCAGCGCGATCTGACCTACTTCATCAAAAACACCATACTTAACTTTGGTGTGCTCACTAGTATTGTCCTCCACTCCCTGAAGTGCGTCCCGCTGTGGATGATTGCTGCTGTCCGCTTGTAAAGGGACAATGACGTCGCCAGTGTTCAAAGCTTCCACACGAGAAACATGCCCCGCTGGAAGAACTCCTCCGAAAGGGCTGATTGACGCTAGGTACAGATTCAGCAGAAGTAACAGCAGCAGAAGCTGCACGACCACCTCGAGGCCTGCTGTAGGGACTCCGTGTGAAACGCGCATTCCTTGCCTAGAATTTCCGAACAGCTTTACTCTCAGCCCTTGAAATTCGCTTGTCGTCGTCTGAGTCAGATGCAAGATCTCGGGAAACATAATTTTTCACAGTTTCCCATCCACCATCAGAAGTGTCGGCAATCCTTATCAGTTTATTACGCTGCTGAATACGTAGTACTTCTGTATCTACCAGATCTGAGGCGTAATCCAACTTATTGTATTCAAGAGCAAACTTAATCTGCTCCAAGCTATCCAAAGTCTCAGAATTGAAACTATGTTGAATTTTATTACCTTCTTTTTTCCAAACTATGTCCTTAGCAGCCTTCAACTTCGTGAGTTCTTTAGACGTCTTTAGAAATTCGCCACGAAAACTCTCCAATCTATTTTCCACAGACTTAGCAATTTCTGCTTTAGATTGGTCCAACTTCAACCAAATCTCGTCTAGCTTGTCAGAGATAGGTTTGTTCTGATCCATATTATAACTGATAGGTTAATACTAGACTCGAGCGCACCGCAACTGAGAATGCACTTCGAACTCCCGCCTTTCCTTATAAACCCATAACAGAGCCATCTAGCGGACATTCTTACATCAACAAGTAGTACTTTCCTACGCAAGGAGAAAATAATTTCAATCTTATTCGTTCCTCAACCGCAAGAAATTATATTGTACACATTACAAGTATTTAGATGATTATAATATATATCATGGTCTACACATTACAGGTATTTAGATGATTATAATAGATATTATTGTCTACACATACCAGGTATTAAGTTGATTATAATAGATATCATGGTCTACACATTATAGGTATTTACGTGATTATAATAGATATCATTGTCTACACATACCAGGTATTTAGATGATTATAATAGATATCATGGTCTACACATTACAGATATTTAGATGATTATAATAGATATCATTGTCTACACATTACAGGTATTTAGATGATTATAATAGATATCATTGTCTACACATTACAGGTATTTAAATGATTGTAATATATATCATTGTTTACACATTACAGGTATTTAGATGATTATAATATATATAATTGTCTACACATTACAGGTATTTACATGAATATAATACATATCATTGTCTACACATACCAGGTATTTAGATGATTGTAATAGATATCATTGTTTACACATTACAGGTATTTAGATGATTGTAATATATATCATTGTTTACACATTACAGGTATTTAGATGATTATAATATATATTATTGTCTACACATTACAGGTATTTACATGAATATGATACATATCATTGTCTACACATACCAGGTATTTAGATGATTATAATAAATATCATGGTCTACACATTAGAGGTATTTAGATGATTATAATAGATATCATTGTCTACAGATTACAGGTATTTAGATGAGTATAATAGATATTATTGTCTACACATACCAGGTATTAAGATGATTATAATAGATATCATGATCTACACATTACAGGTATTTACGTGATTATAATAGATATCATTATCTACACATACCAGGTATTTAGATGATTATAATAGATATCATGGTCTACACATTACAGATATTTAGATGATTATAATAGATATCATTGTCTACACATTACAGGTATTTATATGTTGATAATAGATATCATTGTCTACACATTATATGTATTTACATGATAATAATAGATATCATTGTCTACACATTACAGGTATTTAGATGATTATAATAGATATAATTGTCTACACATTACAGGTATTTAGATGATTATAATAGATATCATTGTTTACACATACCAGGTATTAAGATGATTATAATAGATATCATTGTCTACACATACCAAGTTTAGATGATTATAATAGATATCATTGTCTACACATACCAGGTATTTAGATGATTATAATAAATATCATGGTCTACACATTACAGGTATTTAGATGATTATAATAGATATCATGGTCTATACATACCAGGTATTTAGATGATTATAATAGATATCATTGTCTACACATACCAGGTATTTAGATGATTATAATAGATATCATTGTCTACACATACCAGGTATATAGATGATTATAATAGATATTATTGTCTACAAATACCAGGTAGGTACAAAAATTATAGCACAAATGTGCTGCGTTTTCGCACTGCAACTATGGTAAATTCTTCACCTTTTGGTCATCTTGCCATAACCTCTTCACATAAATTGCAACAACAAATGTATTCTTATAGCCTACGGATTATCTACCACCCATGTCCTTGTTTTATAATATTTACATGTACCACAAATGCATAAATTATGTACCCATTATAAAAAAAAAATTAAAAAAATTATAGTCTATGCATACACATTTGAATTCATGTCCTCGGGACTCGTCAGGCGAAACCTTTTTATCATGTTGTACATACCATGGTTACTGGATATGGGAAACCCGCATTTAAATAGATTAGATTACATCGTATCAATAGCAATTATATACACAATTTCACACACTATGTTGTGTATTTATCTTTCATCAGTGTTACGTGTTGATTCCAAAGCTGAAAGTTTAAACGTTAATAGAAACTGTGATGTGAAACCTGCACACAACCAATCAGTAGTTCAGTATATCCACATGACGTTTCTCATTCAGTATATCCACATAACATTTCTCCTTCATTATATCCACATGACATTTCTCTTTCAGTATACCCACATGACATTCGTCTTACAGTATCCAAACAGGATATTTCTCCTTCATTACATCCACATGACATTTCTCTTTCAGTATATCCACGTGACATTTCTCCTTCGTTACATCCACATGACATTTCTCTTTCAGTATATCCACGTGACATTTCTCCTTCATTATATCCACATCGAATTTCTCTTTCAGTATATCCACATGGCATTTCTTCTTCATTATATCCACATGACATTTCTCTTTCATTATATCCACCTGATATTTCTCCTTCAGTATATCCATATGACATTTATCTTTCAGTATATCCACATGACATTTCTCTTTCAGTATATCCACATGACATTTTTCTTTCAGTATATCCACATGACATTAATCTTTCAGTATATCCACATGACGTTTCTCATTCAGTATATCCACATGACATTTCTCCTTCATTATATCCACATGACACTTCTCTTTCAGTATACCCACGTGACATTTCTCTTTCAGTATACCCACATGACATTCGTCTTACAGTATCCAAACAGGATATTTCTCCTTCATTACATCCACATGACATTTCTCTTTCAGTATATCCACGTGACATTTCTCCTTCATTACATCTACATGACATTTCTCTTTCAGTATATCCACGTGACATTTCTCCTTCATTATATCCACATCGAATTTCTCTTTCAGTATATCCACATGGCATTTCTTCTTCATTATATCCACATGACATTTCTCTTTCATTATATCCACCTGATATTTCTCCTTCAGTATATCCATATGACATTTATCTTTCAGTATATCCACATGACATTTCTCTTTCAGTATATCCACATGACATTTTTCTTTCAGTATATCCACGTGACATTTCTCTTTCAGTATATCCACATGACATTTCTCTTTCAGTATATCCACATGACATTTCTCCTTCATTACATCCACATGACATTTCTATTTCAGTATATCCACGTGACATTTCTCCTTCATTACATCCACATGACATTTCTCTTTCAGTATATCCACGTGACATTTCTCCTTCATTATATCCACATCGAATTTCTCTTTCAGTATATCCACATGGCATTTCTTCTTCATTATATCCACATGACATTTCTCTTTCATTATATCCACCTGATATTTCTCCTTCAGTATATCCATATGACATTTATCTTTCAGTATATCCACGTGACATTCCTCTTTCAGTATATCCACATGACATTTCTCTTTCAGTATATCCACATGACATTTTTCCTTCAGTATATCCACACGGCATTTCTCTTTCAGTATATCCACATGACATTTCTCTTTCAGTATATCCACATGACATTTATCTTTCAGTATATCCACATGACATTTATCTTTCAGTATATCCACATGAGATACGGGAGAAGTGTCAGAGTGTTGGTATCATTCAGCTGGGTAATCCAAACGGTGAGTTAGTGAGGTTGGTGACGAATCCAAACGGCTTGTTGGTTAGGCTGGTGACGAATCCAAACACTTAGTTACGTGAAAAAAATCGATCACCAGTGGTGAGGTAAGCATGTAGATTCTTACATCGTTATCAAGCTAAATCCAGTTTTAACTTGATAACGATGTAAGAATCTACATCAAAACGTCGCTCTATGCAATAAATAAGAAGTTGTCATCCATAGAGCTGTATGTTTCATGTTTGAGTCACCAACTTCTAGAATGCCCATCAAACAGTTAGTTAGGTTGGTTATGAATCCAAGCAGTGATTGAGAGAGGTTGGAATTGATTACGTGTGCAAACATTGAGTTAATTGTTTGGCTATGAAGGCAAACAGTGTGTTAGTGAAATTTGTTACGAATCCAAATGGTTGGAGATGTCAAAACTTTATGGATGATCAACATTTTCATTTTCACAATGGCGACGTTTCAGTCTAGATTATTATACCGTTGTCAAGCATATGGGGGAAGGATGGGGTGCACCAGTTTATATACAAGATAAGATAAAGAGAATAATAACAAGGGTGTGGTAACAAATCGTCAAAGTAAGTTACATGATGAGCTACAATAACATGACATGAGCTGAGATAGCATAAATGAGATGAGCGGGATTACCATGATAACTAGTGAATGTGAGTTAATTAAGCAGAAGCCAAGGTCAAGTGGATTAATTAATGGGAAACCAGTGGTGAGGTAAGCAGGTAAATAAGAAGCCATCTGAAGTGGTTTGTTTGGATTAATTATTTGTGGATTAGGTGGTTGTAAGCTGATGGGATGAAATAGTGTAATCATGTTTGTTGTTTGTAAGTGTTTTGACAGTGTACCAGTTGATGATGTGTTCCGAAATGGCTGATTTGGTGTCTGCATTGTCGGTGGATGTCTTGTGTTCTTTGGTGCGTATGTTGAGTGGTCTGGATGTTTCACCAATGTTGTTGCTGCCACAGTCGCAGCTGATGTTGTAGACCTCACCTTTAGGCTGTTGTTGTTTTGTAGTGTGTTTCATACCGTTTGCCTTAATGATAGTTTTGAGAGGTTTGGCCGTGGAGAAGTAAGTGTCTAATGCTGCTTAAGCGACTGATGTGGTGTGAAGTTTTGCCGATGGAGGGTAGTGAGATGCGAATGGGAGCGGAGTCGGGCTTGCTAGTGGTAGGTTTAGGTGCTGGGTTGAGGGCGGAGTGAATGACGCGGTTAACAAGTTTAGTGGGATAGTTGTTAAGTTGAGTGAAGACATGTCGGAGGTGTTTAAGTTCACGTTCAGGGGTGACAGAGGACAGGTTGAGCGGGTGAGAGTGGTTGGTTAGTTCAGTTGGTTATGAATCCACCAAACAGTGAGCTAGTCAGACACAGCTGTCATGGTTTTGCTTCGTCAACACCACTAACGTCAGCTGCAGCTCGTTAACAATACTTGTCTCTGTTGTTCTCTTTGTTTTAACACAAATGAATACTGACGTTGATCTGTTTTCAGATGTCCTACATGGGAACCGTGCTGTATGCTCCTTCGCTTGCACTGAAAACAGGTTTGTGCTTCCGAAACCCGAACCATAACGAAATACATAGTATGTGATGAAACAGTCCGTGTAATTAAGCCTTGATGATGCTTTACTGTTCATCGAAATGAATGTTAATTGCCTTGTGATTTAGCTGATAAAACGATACTTTTACAGTAAGCGGCATGGAACTCTGGGTGTCCATTGTGACGGTGGGATGTCTGGTCACTCTGTATACATCACTGGTGAGTGTACAGTAATGCATGCCTTGAACACTGGTGAGTGTACAGTAATGCATACCTTGAACACTGGTGAGTGTACAGTAATGCACACCTTGAACACAGGTGAGTGTTTAGTAATGCATGCCTTGAACACAGGTGAGTGTACAGTAATTCTTGCCTTGGACATACATGTGAGAACACAAATGAATGCAGTCGACACGGGTGAGAAAATCGAAATAGATGCATTTGGCACAACTGAATGCACACACATATATACATAGGTCAGTGTAAGTGCACAAATACACGCCAGTAGTACAACTGAATGCGCACAAATTCACGCCCCAGTACAATCGAATGCACACAGATCATTCCAGGGTGACAAGTGAGTGCACAACGCTATATATCTTTGATGTGAATGCTGTGTTCTGATTGGCGGATCAGCAACACTGACTTTGAGCTTGTTAAGATAATATAAGAACATACAGGATTTCTATTTTGGGGGCTGTTGGCTTCCTTATTTATTGTTAAACAATGTTGTGATTGGATGAAGACGCTTCCTATTAAGATTTAGTCTAAATACTTAAGTGTTTTAAGAAAAGGTTGTTGTCGATGATATATTGCTATCTGACGTAAGTAATTGTATGCAGGTTATTATATTTATATGGTATTGAAATTGAATATACTTCCACTCAGTTGTGAACTGTCCCTGTGATTACTTTCCGCATCTTATTCAATACAGTACTACCGTTAATCATTCTATTTGTTGGTGTCACATTGAGGGTATGCATATTGATTTCACCTCATGGTTTGAACAACATAACAGACAACATTGTCATGAGATAGACGGCCTGTTGTTGGCAGAACATGGTCAATATCCCTGACTCTCCCATCACTAACATGTGGATGCTGGTACGTAATGGTTGACCGAGTAGTGGAAACAACAACATGGAAAATGACAGCCCTGAAGAGTCTGAAGAAACCCTCAGATTCAGGGTGTTATGCAGCTGGTAGCTGCGAGTTTTTTTATTCTTCTTGCCAATCTTGCACGCCAAAGTAAGGCATGTTGTCATACATCTGACATGAAATCAGAGCCCTGATCGAACTGATCGAACAGTCCCGAGCAAACCAGACTGAAGAACTTTACTAAAGCCATGATGATAACCTAAGCTGTAGAATGTTGTAAATAAATATGGTAGGCTTCTGAGGATTGATTGAATTAATGTTATCCCAACACAATGAATGGTAGCCCTGCTGAAAGCTAAAAAAGCTGGTGCAATTATACAAGCTAGTATTGTTGACGTGACTGAGGTTTTGATTGTCTCAAATCGAGGTAGGTGCTGATGATTAATCCAATGAAAGGTAGTCTACCTCCACAATACACGAGGTCTTCACGATATGCTATTCCTGTAACATCACAGCTATTGCTGTTACAGCTATTGCTAATGCTGTAACATCACAGCTATTGCTGTAACATCACAGCTATTGCTGTAACATCTCTGCTATTGCTGTAACATCACGGCTATTGCTGTAACATGACTGCTATTGCTGTAACATCACAGCTATTGCTGTAACATGACTGCTATTGCTGGAACATCACAGCTATTGCTGTAACATCTCTGCTATTGCTGGAACATCACAGCTATTGCTGTAACATCTCTGATATTGCTGTAGCATGACTGCTATTGCTGTAACATCACGGCTATTGCTGTAACATGACTTCTATTGCTGTAACATCTCTGCTTTTGCCGTAACATCCCTGATACTGCTGTAACATGACTGCTATTGCTGTAACATCTCTGCTATTGCTGTAACATCACAGCTATTGCTGTAACATGACTGCTATTGCTGTAACATCACAGCTATTGCTGTAACATGACTGCTATTGCTGTAACATCACAGCTATTGCTGTAACATCACAGCTATTGCTGTAACATCTCTGCTATTGCTGTAACATGACTGCTATTGCTGTAACATCACTGCTATTGCTGGAACATCTCTGCTATTGCTGTAACATCACAGCTATTGCTGTAACATGACTGCTATTGCTGTAACATCTCTGCTATTGCTGTAACATGGCTGCTATTGCTGTAACATCACTGCTATTGCTGTAACATCACAGCTATTGCTGTAACATCACAGCTATTGCTGTAACATGACTGCTATTGCTGTAACGTCTCTGCTATTGCTGTAACATGACTGCTATTGCTGTAACATCTCTGCTATTGCTGTAACATCACAGCTATTGCTGTAACATGACTGCTATTGCTGTAACATCACAGCTATTGCTGTAACATAGCAGCTATTGCTGTAACATGACTGCTATTGCTGTAACATCTCTGCTATTCCTGTAACATCACAGCTATTGCTGTAACATGACTGCTATTGCTGTAACATCACTGCTATTGCTGTAACATCACTGCTATTGCTGGAACATCACTGCTATTGCTGTAACATCACAGCTATTGCTGTAACATGACTGCTATTGCTGTAACATCTCTGCTATTGCTGTAACATAACAGCTATTGCTGTAACATCTCTGCTATTGCTGTAACATAACAGCTATTGCTGTAACATGACTGCTATTGCTGTAACATCACAGCTATTGCTGTAACATGACTGCTATTGCTGGAACATCACTGCTTTTGCCGTAACATCTCTGCTATTCCTGTAACATCCCTGATATTGCTGTAACATCTCTGCTATTGCTGTAACATCTCTGCTATTGCTGTAACATATCTCCTATTGCTGTTACATCTTTGCTATTGCTGTAACATCTCTGCTATTGCTGTAACATCACTGCTATTGCTGTAACATGACTGCTATTGCTGTAACATCTCTGCTATTGCTGTAACATAACAGCTATTGCTGTAACATGACTGCTATTGCTGGAACATCACTGCTTTTGCCGTAACATCTCTGCTATTCCTGTAACATCCCTGATATTGCTGTAACATCACTGCTATTGCTGTAACATCACAGCTATTGCTGTAACATCTCTGCTATTGCTGGAACATCACGGCTATTGCTGTAACATGACTGCTATTGCTGGAACATCACCTGCTATTGCTGTAACATCTCTGCTATTGCTGGAACATCACTGCTATTGCTGTAACATCTCTGCTATTGCTGTAACATCACCGCTATTTCTGTAACATCCCTGCTATTGCTGTAACATCTCTGCTTATTGCTGTAACATCACTGCTATTGCTGTTACATCTCTGCTATTGCTGTAACATCTCTGCTATTGCTGTAACATCTCTGCTATTGTTGTAACATCTCTGCTATTGCTGTAACATCTCTGCTATTTGCTGTAACATAACAGCTATTGCTGTAACATGACTGCTATTGCTGGAACATCACTGCTATTGCCGTAAACATCTCTGCTATTCCTGTAACATCCCTGATATTGCTGTAACATCACTGCTATTGCTGTAACATCACAGCTATTGTTGTAACATCTGCTATTGCTGGAACATCACGGCTATTGCTGTAACATGACTGCTATTGCTGGAACATCACTGCTTTTGCTGTAACATCTCTGCTATTGCTGGAACATCACTGCTATTGCTGTAACATCTCTGCTATTGCTGTAACATCTCAGCTATTGCTGTAACATCCCTACTATTGCTGTAACATCACTGCTATTGCTGTAACATCTCTGCTATTGCTGTAACATCTCTGCTATTGCTGTAACATCTCTGCTATTGTTGTAACATCTCTGCTATTGCTGTAACATCTCTGCTATCCCTGTAACATCTCTGCTATTGCTGTAACATCTCTTGCTATCCCTGTAACATCACTGCTATTGCTGTAACTTCTCTTGCTATCCCTGTTACATCTCTGCTATTGCTGTAACATCTCTTGCTATCCCTGTAACATCACTGCTATTGCTGTAACATGACTGCTATTGCTGGAACATCACTGCTATTGCTGTAACATCTCTGCTATTCCTGTAACATCTCTGCTATTGCTGTAACATCTCTGCTATTGCTGTAACATCTCTGCTATTGCTGTAACATCTCTGCTATTGCTGTAACATATCTCCTATTGCTGTTACATCTTTGCTATTGCTGTAACATCTCTGCTATTGCTGTAACATCTCAGCTATTGCTGTAACAGCTATGGTGATTTCACTGTGATTTGTATGTGTCATGTGGTATTAAAGTTCCATCAAATCATGACATATCTCACATTTTAGACTACCACATGTTATTTACATCCCTCTTCAGGGGGGCATGAAGGCTGTTCTGTGGACGGACAGTTTCCAGGCAGTTCTCATCCTCGTGGGCCTTCTGTCGGTCTTTATACAAGGATGTATCACCATCGGGGGATTTGGACGGGCTTGGGACATTGCAAGCGAAAACTCCAGAATCTACTTTCATGAGTAAGAACAACGCTATACGGGTCACTTTGCTTATTTGTGGTTTCATCTTGACAGCTTTGAAAATGAAAAAGGAGAGCAGTGTTGCTGTTTCTGATCAACAATATGTACCGTATATGACCGTCTATAAGACGACCCCATGGATAAGACGACCCCCAAACTTGACCCTTAAAATCAGTGTCAAAATGGTATGTTTCGTGCATAAGTCGATCCTCCGCGATGGGGTCCTAATCGCGGCAAACACAGACCACAGACAACTGGCAGTTACCAATAATTTTTAACTTTGGTCCACATTATTCAAAGAATTCACAATCATATATATTGCGTCTACTCACGGATCGAAACGAAGTGTAGTTGACAGAAAATGCATAATATATTTTGCTTCTCTAAATATCATATTTATTGTAGCAACAAACTGGCTTGCTTATTTTACCCCATTCAACAATCACGAACTGATTACCGCCTCGTTTTCCATTGACTGCTAGTTTACAGTAACATCGGTAAAAATGTGTGAATTTAAATGGCTTCCGTATTATACCCCATTCCATGTGCGTACAACTTCTGCTTACCACGTTCATGAGGGTCCGTGTAACCTTAGTGTTGATTATATATATTTTACATAAAAACTGTAATTAAAATTACATAATGCTAGGATATATTTCTTTGGGTTAAATAATAGTATTTTGTATTATATTTTACTGACGACTGCGTCAGAATTCGTCCCGTTGTATTATTGTGCATGTTTGAACTTGTTCGCCGGGAAACGTGTGCACAGCTGATTGCTATTTCCGGCTCAAATACACACGGTAATCTTAATCTTAATTAATTTATAGAGCAAAAACTGTAAATTATATATTTGTGGCCTCGTATGAGTACCACAACTGATTGTCTGGACCTTGAACGTTGTGTTCCCATCTGACAAGAATACACAGTGCGCACGTGGCCAACTGTAACGTGTTATATTTTGGATAACGCTTACTTAATAAAGTGCAAATTCAAGTGCATCTTAGGATTAAGCCCATCTGGGATTTGAAACGACACCTAATGCAGCCCATATCAGGATGGTGATGAAAGATAACTAGACATTCAACCGACATGAAATACATCAAAATCCCCGTCTTTGACAAGGACGGGCAGGTGAGAGTCCCGATAACGTACAACTACCACACGATCAGAGACCTTGACAAGTCAGGTCAGATCTTCAGCCTCTCCCTGCTTCATGTGCCATGACTGTAGGAGCCATGACATGCTGGGCGACTATACACGTCATTACATGCTGCACACGAGGACTAGGCGACTATACTCGTCATGACATACTGCACCCGAGGACTGGACAACTATACTCGCCATGACATGCTGCACCCGAGGACTAGGCGACTATTCTCGTCATGACATGCTGGGCGACTATACACGTCATGACATGCTGCACCCGAGGACTGGGCGACTATACACGTCATTACATGCTGCACACGAGGACTAGGCGACTTTACTCGTCATGACATGCTGCACCCGAGGACTGGGCGACTATACTCGTCATGACATATTGCGCCCGAGGACTGGTCGACTATACTCGTCATGACATGCTGCACCCGAGGATTAGACGACTATACTCGTCATGACATACTGCACCCGAGGACTAGACGACTATACTCGTCATGACATACTGCACCCGAGGACTAGACGACTATACTCGTCATGACATACTGCACCCGAGGAATGGACGACTATACTTGTCATGACATGCTGCACCCGAGGACTGGGCGACTATACTCGTCATGACATGCTGGACGACTATACTCGTCATGACATGCTGCACCCGAGGACTGGACGACTATACTCGTCATGACATGCTGCACTCGAGGACTAGGCGACTATACTCGTCATGCCATTCTGCAACCAAGGACTGGGCGACTATACTCGTCATGACATGCTGCACCCGAAGACTGGGCGACTATACTCGTCAGGACATACTGCACCCGAGGACTGGGAGACTATACTCGTCATGACATACTGTACCCGAGGACTGAACGTCCATACTCGTCATGACATGCTGCACCCGAGGACTGGGCGACTATACTCGTCATGACATGCTGGACGACTATACTCGTCTTCACATGCTGGACGACTATACTCGTCATGACATGCTGCACCCGAGGACTGGACGACTATACTCGTCATGACATGTTGCACCCGAGGACTGGGCGACTATACTCGTCATGTAATGCTGCCCCCAAGGACTGGGCGACTATACTCGTCATGACATGCTGCACCCGAGGACTGGACGACTATACTCGTCATGACATGCTGCACCCGAGGACTGGACGACTATACTCGTCACGACATACTGCACCCGAGGACTGGACGACTATACTCGTCATGACATACTGCACCCGAGGACTGGGCGACTATATTCTTCATGACATACTGCACCCGAGGACTGGGCGGGTTAATAAGAAATGTGTATTAAATAGAATAGGATGTGAAATATATAAACAGCAAATCAATGTTACAATTGTTTCATGAAATGAACTAAGTTTTCAAATCAATACAAAATAGTGCACAGTATTTACACGATAGTGTGGCAGGAAAAAATTCGAGAACAGCACAGCTGCAATGGCTACAATTACCAAACAGCGCCAACAGTTGCAACGTCAGTGAGCATGATGTTCACGTAACACCAACAGTGGTCACACTACCACACATTACTAGGCTTGTTATCGATGGTGAAAAGCTCCTCAGACTACTGCTCTACTGTCATGTAAAGATGATCAAGGCTTCATATACCATTATTGTTTTCTTGAAACTCGATGACATGCTGGTTCAGGTTGTGCTGAATGGATCTATGCTCCTCTAGAAGTTTCAAAATTCGTGAATCAGATGCTTGAATATCTCAGAATATGTTAAAACAATCTTGACTCCCCTCCGTGAACAGTTTCAGCGTGGACCCGAGAACCCGTGCCTCCTTCTGGTCCGTGGTTGTTGGGGGCGGGATAATGTGGATGTCCTACTACTCCGTCAGCCAGAGTCAGGTGCAGCGGTTCCTCGCCTGCCGAACGCTCAGGAAGGCCCAAATGTAAGTCCATGAAATGACAGTTGGTCGTCAATCAAGTCAGCATATGTTTTGCGTGAAGCGTTGGTTATGTTCTGTAAATACACACGTAATTTGTATTAATTCATGCCAACTTACAGGTTAATCGAAACTGGTTTAGTCAGAGAGACTGAAGAGTCGCGATACATGATCATTTGCCTGAAACTAAACTGTGACTTATGAAATAAGATAATATACTCTGAAGGCTGAATGCAATGTTGTATATCCATGCAAAGAAGACATTTTCCGTTTGTCCTCCTAATCGTATTCATTTTCCCCACCTACAGCGTATGATCACGCCGGTTCGAAAAATCGTTAGGTACGAGACAAAATCGATGTTTTACACTGTTACCACCCTTTCACACACCCTGCAACAAGCACCAACACATGCTCTGTCTTCCAGAGCCATGTGGTTCAGCGGGGTCCAGCTGGTCGTCATTGTCAGTCTGTGTTGCCTGGTTGGGGTGGTTCTCTTCGCCTTCTACAAGGACTGTCATCCCCTCCACTACAATCTCATCAGCAACACGGACGAGGTGAGTAGATTCAGATACATTACAGCAGAATGTTACCAGTTTGTGGATGGAGTGACCGGGTGTGATAGTCTGTATACTTCCATGACGAATTCACGTTGACCTGACCAGCATTTACAAGTATAGCCTGGTGACCTGTCTTCAAAACAAAACATTCAAGTATATCCTGATGACCTGTCTTCAAGACCAATATAAACAAGCATAACCTGACGTCATGTCTTCAAAACATTGCATACACGTATGGCCTGATTTCCTGTCTACGGAAACAGAATAAACAAGTATAGCCTAATGACTTGTTCTCAAGACCAATATATGCAAGAATACCCTAAAGACCCGTCCATCTCGAAGACCCCTCTACCTGACGAAGACAACATATGAAAATCCGGTTTCCGAAAACTCTACCAGTATTATGTTTTGCAGTTACTTCCTCTGTTTGTGATGGACATCTTGGGGCATCTGCCGGGTCTACCTGGAATCTTCCTGTCCTGTATCTTCAGTGGCAGTCTCAGGTACAACAATATCATTTGTGTATATACAATATACAATGACAGCCTCAGGTGCAACAATATCATATGTGTATATACAATATACAATGACAGCCTCAGGTACAACAATATCATTTGTGTATATACAATATACAATGACAGTCTGTTACCTCCAGTCATCACTTCCAGCACTCTCTCACCAGGTTTTAACATAACATACAATGTAGTCTGACAACTTCTACCTGAAGCCTACTGTTACCTCCTGTTACCTCCAGTCATCACTTCCAGCACTCTCTCACCAGGTGTTAACATAACATACAATGTAGTCTGACAACTTCTCCCTGGCGTCTACTGTTACCACCTGTTACCTCCAGTCATCACTTTCAGCACTCTCTCTCCAGGTGTTAACATAACATACAATGTAGGCTGACAACTTCTCCCTGAAGTCTACTGTTACCTCCAGTCATCACTTCCAGCACTCTCTCACCAGGTGTTAACATAATATACAATGTAGTCTGACAACTTCTCCCTGAAGCCTACTGTTACTTCCAGTCATCACTTCCAGCACTCTCTCACCAGGTGTTAACATAATATACAAAGTAGTCTGACAACATGTACCTGAAGCCTACTGTTACCTCCAGTCATCACTTCCAGCACTCTCTCACCAGGTGTTAACATAATATACAATGTAGTGTGACAACATCTACCTGAAGTCTACTGCTACCACCTGTTACCTCCAGTCATCACTTCCAGCACTCTCTCTCCAGGTGTTAACATAACATACAATGTAGTCTGACAACTTCTACCTGAAGCCTACTGTTACCACCCGTTACCTCCAGTCATCACTTCCAGCACTCTCTCACCAGGTGTTAACATAATATACAATGTAGTCTGACAACATCTACCTGAAGTCTACTGTTACCACCTGTTACCTCCAGTCATCACTTCCAGCACTCTCTCACCAGGTGTTAACATAATATACAATGTAGTCTGACAACTTCTCCCTGAAGTCTACTGTTACCACCCGTTACCTCCAGTCATCACTTCCAGCACTCTCTCACCAGGTGTTAACATAATATACAATGTAGTCTGACAACATCTACCTGAAGTCTACTATTACCACCTGTTACCTCCAGTCATCACTTCCAGCACTCTCTCTCCAGGTGTTAACATAATATACAATGTAGTCTGACAACTTCTTCCTGAAGTCTACTGTTACCACCTGTTACCTCAAGTCATCACTTCCAGCACTCTCTCACCATGTGTTAACATAACATACAATGTAGTCTGACAACTTCTCCCTGAAGCCTACTGTTACCTCCAGTCATCACTTCCAGCACTCTCTCACCAGGTGTTAACATAATATAGAAAGTAGTCTGACAACATCTACCTGAAGCCTACTGTTACCTCCAGTCATCACTTCCAGCACTCTCTCACCAGGTGTTAACATAATATACAATGTAGTCTGACAACATCTACCTGAAGTCTACTGCTACCACCTGTTACCTCCAGTCATCACTTCCAGCACTCTCTCTCCAGGTGTTAACATAATATACAATGTTGTCTGACAACTTCTCCCTGAAGTTTACTGTTACCAGCAGTAATCACTTCCAGCACTCTCTCTCCAGGTGTTAACATAATATAGAAAGTAGTCTGACAACATCTACCTGAAGCCTACTGTTACCTCCAGTCATCACTTCCAGCACTCTCTCACCAGGTGTTAACATAATATACAATGTAGTCTGACAACATCTACCTGAAGTCTACTGCTACCACCTGTTACCTCCAGTCATCACTTCCAGCACTCTCTCTCCAGGTGTTAACATAACATACAATGTAGTCTGACAACTTCTACCTGAAGACTACTGTTACCACCCGTTACCTCCAGTCATCACTTCCAGCACTCTCTCACCAGGTGTTAACATAATATACAATGTAGTCTGACAACATCTACCTGAAGTCTACTACTGTTACAACCTGTTACCTCCAGTAATCACTTCCAGCACTCTCTCACCATGTGTTAACATAACATACAATGTAGTCTGACAACTTCTCCCTGAAGCCTACTGTTACCTCCAGTCATCACTTCCAGCACTCTCTCTCCAGGTGTTAACATAACATACAATGTAGTCTGACAACTTCTACCTGAAGTCTACGGTTACCACCCGTTACCTCCAGTCATCACTTCCAGCACTCTCTCTCCAGGTGTTAACATAATATACAATGTAGTCTGACAACTTCTTCCTGAAGTCTACTGTTACCACCTGTTACCTCCAGTCATCACTTCCAGCACTCTCTCACCAGGTGTTAACATAACATACAATGTAGTCTGACAACTTCTCCCCCTGAAGCCTACTGTTACCTCCAGTCATCACTTCCATCACTCTCTCACCAGGTGTTAACATAACATACAATGTAGTCTGACAACTTCTCCCTGAAGCCTGTTACCACTGTTACCTCCAGTCATCACTTCCAGCACTCTCTCACCAGGTGTTAACATAATATACAATGTTGTCTGACAACTTCTCCCTGAAGTTTACTGTTACCATCAGTAATCACTTCCAGCACTCTCTCTCCAGGTGTTAACATAACATACAATGTAGTCTGACAACTTCTCCCTGAAGCCTACTGTTACCTCCAGACATCACTTCCAGCACTCTCTCACCAGGTGTTAACATAATATACAATGTAGTCTGACAACATCTACCTGAAGTCTACTGCTACCACCTGTTACCTCCAGTCATCACTTCCAGCACTCTCTCTCCAGGTGTTAACATAACATACAATGTAGTCTGACAACTTCTACCTGAAGTCTACTGTTACCACCCGTTACCTCCAGTCATCACTTCCAGCACTCTCTCTCCAGGTGTTAACATAATATACAATGTAGTCTGACAACTTCTTCCTGAAGTCTACTGTTACCACCTGTTACCTCCAGTCATCACTTCCAGCACTCTCTCACCATGTGTTAACATAACATACAATGTAGTCTGACAACTTCTCCCTGAAGCCTACTGTTACCTCCAGTCATCACTTCCAGCACTCTCTCACCAGGTGTTAACATAACATACAATGTAGTCTGACAACTTCTCCCTGAAGCCTACTGTTACCTCCAGTCATCACTTCCAGCACTCTCTCACCAGGTGTTAACATAATATACAATGTTGTCTGACAACTTCTCCCTGAAGTTTACTGTTACCATCAGTAATCACTTCCAGCACTCTCTCTCCAGGTGTTAACATAACATACAATGTAGTCTGACAACTTCTCCCTGAAGCCTACTGTTACCTCCAGACATCACTTCCAGCACTCTCTCACCAGGTGTTAACATAATATACAATGTAGTCTGACAACATCTACCTGAAGTCTACTGCTACCACCTGTTACCTCCAGTCATCACTTCCAGCACTCTCTCTCCAGGTGTTAACATAACATACAATGTAGTCTGACAACTTCTACCTGAAGTCTACTGTTACCACCCGTTACCTCCAGTCATCACTTCCAGCACTCTCTCACCAGGTGTTAACATAATATACAATGTAGTCTGACAACATCTACCTGAAGTCTACTGTTACCACCTGTTACCTCCAGTCATCACTTCCAGCCTCTCTCACCAGGTGTTAACATAATATACAATGTAGTCTGACAACTTCTCTCCCTGAAGTCTACTGTTCCCACCTGTTACCTCCAGTCATCACTTCCAGCACTCTCTCGCCAGGTGTTAACATAATATACAATGTAGTCTGACAACTTCTCCTGAAGTCTACTGTTACCACCTGTTACCTCCAGTCATCACTTCCAGCACTCTCTCACCAGGTGTTAACATAACATACAATGTAGTCTTACAACTTCTCCCTGTAGTCTACTGTTACCACCTGTTACCTCCAGTCATCACTTCCAGCACTCTCTCACCAGGTGTTAACATAACATACAATGTAGTCTGACAACTTCTCCCTGAAGTCTACTGTTACCACCTGTCATCACTTCCAGCACTCTCTCACCAGGTGTTAACATAACATACAATGTAGTCTGACAACATCTACCTGAAGTCTACTGTTACCACCTGTTACCTCCAGTCATCACTTCCAGCACTCTCTCACCAGGTGTTAACATAATATACAATGTAGTCTGACAACTTCTCCCTGAAGTCTACTGTTACCACCTGTTACCTCCAGTCATCACTTCCAGCACTCTCTCACCAGGTGTTAACATAACATACAATGTAGTCTGACAACTTCTCCTGAAGCCTACTGTTACCTCCAGTCATCACTTCCAGCACTCTCTCACCAGGTGTTAACATAACATACAATGTAGTCTGACAACTTCACCTGAAGTCTTACCACCACCTCCAGTCATCACTTCCAGCACTCTCTCACCAGGTGTTAACATAACATACAATGTAGTCTGACAACTTCTCCTGAAACTGTTACCTCAGTCATCACTTCCAGCACTCTCTCTCCAGGTGTTAACATAACATACAATGTAGTCTGACAACTTCTCCCTGAAGTCTACTGTTACCTCCAGTCATCACTTCCAGCACTCTCTCACCAGGTGTTAACATAACATACAATGTAGTCTGACAACTTCTCCCTGAAGCCTACTGTTACCTCCAGTCATCACTTCCAGCACTCTCTCACCAGGTGTTAACATAATATACAATGTTGTCTGACAACTTCTCCCTGAAGTGTTACCACTGTTACCATCAGTAATCACTTCCAGCACTCTCTCTCCAGGTGTTAACATAACATACAATGTAGTCTGACAACTTCTCCCTGAAGCCTACTGTTACCTCCAGACATCACTTCCAGCACTCTCTCACCAGGTGTTAACATAATATACAATGTAGTCTGACAACATCTACCTGAAGTCTACTGCTACCACCTGTTACCTCCAGTCATCACTTCCAGCACTCTCTCTCCAGGTGTTAACATAACATACAATGTAGTCTGACAACTTCTACCTGAAGTCTACTGTTACCACCCGTTACCTCCAGTCATCACTTCCAGCACTCTCTCACCAGGTGT